GATCGGATCCTTGCGTTCTAGGACTCAATCTCAATGGTTCAAACAGCTAATCATGAGAGAGATGACCTCAGAATAATTAATTAGCTCAAACTATATTTAAAATTTCGAAATCAGAAACAAAAGCACACTTTTTGTGAATAGACATACTTTTTTCCCGTTGGATTCATATTTCTGACTTTCAAAATATAGAGGGTAGCCGCAATCATGGGAAATACGGTCACAATAGTTTGATCATTAAAGTGGTTCAAGGTTTGAACCCTTTAATGTTAATTTCACTTTGTGAGCATTACGCCATATCGCGAGAACTTTTTAAGGGAATATAAAAGTTTTTGCACACAATTATAAAATTTGTTTATCCAAATTCAATGCAAAAAATATTTTTAGTGAATATTTATAATTTTATTTAATAATCGCCAAAAAAAATTTGATTTGTGAGATATAGAATAATTTACATCATTTTAAAGAATGCAATTTTGCAATGCAGTTCTGAGAAACCAAATTTTAAAAAATTCGTATTTTTCATTCCTCCGATCATTAGATCAAAAGTTATTCAGGGTATTCTACTTTTTTTCGCACTATACACAATTATAAAATTATTTTCCTCCCTGTAGCCCTTGATAGTCTTTAGTTATCCACTGTATTAGAATTCCAGTTATTATTTAAATTTTTTTTCAGGTCTTCTTCAACCTAATCTAGGCAACTTGACTTTAGTCTTCCTCTTTTCCTATTATTATAATTCTTTCAGGATTTTTCTTAAGCATGTCTGCTTCCTTCATTCTATTGATATGTCCTATTCACTGTATTCCTTTAGCCTTCATAAATCTTATGTTTTTCTAGTTAATAAATTTTTCTATTCCTTATTTTATTCATATTTGTAGTTCTATCTTCCTCTTAATGTGTTATTTTCATAAACAAACTAAACTCAGTGGTACGACACAGCCCATAGAGAGCCAAGGCCTACTGTGCCCATCTCAGTTTTCTTGACTCTGGGGTGCAGGAGCAGATGTTCCGGTTAGGTGGTCAGCCGAACGCGAAAGTTCCCAAGAAAGCTTGGTACTCATTTATCGACCCACTGAAGGGATGAAAGGATGAGTCCCCCTTGCCCGGCCCGAGGATTATTTTCATAAATAGCTTCATAAATTATTTTATATTTCATTTTACAATCGGTGTCAAACAACCTACCAACTTTTAAAGCCAGAGTTTTCGACTATCAATGTTTAACACCATAGCATTTTAATTTTTCACCCAACCTAGAAGACAAGGAAACTCCTGGATTAGGCATTGTGATAAACTAGCTTTGCAGACGTCTTTTTCATGGAACTAATTCGCATTTTGCGTTACATGGTAAGAAAATAACAAAACTCTTCCACTGTTAGCCCGACGACAAAGGGATTCTAATCAATGATCCATCCATTACTGAGAATATTTTAAGTCAGCACTGCAATCGGTGTGAGCCGGGAGCAGAATTCGTATCAACCAGCCACCGCTTGGATGCGAACATGGGTCACATCATTGGGCGGCGAACGCTCTATCCTGTGTCCATGGGTGGCCGCATCTGTCCATAAATTCTTCTAATTATTCTACGTTCGAAATTTCTTAATATATATTTTCAACTTTGATCAGCCAGATTTTAGATCCGAATGTTACGATTGGCACTATTATTAATACTTTTTATATCTGCATTTTACATTTACTTGAAATTAATTTTCTTATTAGCTATCTTTTATTTGTGAATACTACCTTATTTCCATTTTGTACCTGCTTGTTTAAGCAGTCATCAATTTCACATATATGGTTTATTTCATTACCAAGATAAAGAAAGCTGTTCGTACCCATAATACTTTCATCAATTTTTCAAATTGAAATTGTCTTTACTTTGAGGTCCTTAACGTAATCTTGAATTTAGTTATGGTTTCGTTAATCTCTAAGCCAATTTTATTTGCTTCTCTTCTATGTTCTTTTATTAGTAGTATCGATCAGTTTTTTGTTCTTTCAATACTTAGTATATCATCTGCGTGCGCATAAATTTGTGCTTATTATACGCTATATACCATACTAAACAGAAACACAATTTTGAGCACAGCACGTAATACAGTTAATACAATAGTCGAAGTAATTAGATATTCATTAAAAAAATATTCTTAGCTCATCTCTTTTTCCTGTATTTTTTCAAAAGATGACATTTACTTTAGTCATTAAACATTTATCGCTTAATTATATCTGGAAATATTATATTTCGAAAAAGTACCTTTTCGCAATATGAAGAAATATCGTGCCGTAGTTAAGCGAAATCAATAAATAAGTCAACCAACTTAAATATGCCATCTGCAATTTTCATTTCGAAACACTTTATCTTTTCAGGCATTTCGAAATACTTTGTGTTTTGCAAGTAATTACTCAATAATTTTAACTTTTTTTTCAAATGGGCAAAATTCCTTGTTTTTCATAACATTTCATAACTTTTCAAAGCAATTTTTGCAAAATTTTGATATTATCATTCTCTATTTGATATACTATCTCTTGCGTATTACTACTAATCCACTAACTGCTCAAATAATTATTTGACTTTGGTAACAGCTTAGAATTTTATTTCCGCAAGGAATACAATGAATTTTCCTAGCTTTCTAAATTCAATTAAAATTCATTTGGAAAATTGCACTATTTTTCTGTCTTTCTTTTATGTTCTAGGAGTAAATATAACTTGGAAAAATTTAGGAACTAAATGGAAGCTAGGACTCCATAAGTTATCATTATTTTTGTTGCCGTTAATTGAAATTTATTCCATTTTAACGACAATTCTTGATATAAAAGGGATGTGTTCAGGAAGCCATTGTAAGAAGGCTTGCGTTTGCAGTGCGTTATGTAAGCTATTTGTTTTATGTGACTGGATTACTTTGAATTTGAAAAGAAAGGATATTCATTATTTGATTCAGATCTTTACCGCTTCAAATCTGAATANAGAATTTCTTTCCATTTTGTATAAGTTAATTTTTTATTTTTGTTCTCTAGCTTTAGTGAAACAAAAACTTCCAGCTTAATGATATTCGCTGAAATTTTGTGGATAAATAAGTTAATTAGATATGGATAAATGAGAAATTAAGTGAAATTTTAAGTATAACTAGATTATGGTGATGATGATGGTCAGATATATTTCAATGGACTAGATTCTTGAAAGTGTTGATACGTTTTCGGCTATACCGTGTGCATAACCTGAGATTTTTTTAAAACTATTTTATTAAATTTTTTTAAATTAAAAATGTATAATGTATTAATTTTACTATTTTAGAATTCTTCATTGCAGGCACTGACAAATAGCTTGCAAAAATAAGGAGAGAAATTAACAATAGCCATACTTTATTAATACTATATTGCAGAAAAAGGAATTAAAATTTATAAATTTAAAAATAATTTCGAACTGTAACGGAATTCCTATTTAAGCTAGGAATAATAAATATAAGCGTTAATGTGTATTTAAATATTTAATACATAGGGAAACAAACAAAAAAAGATGACATAAACTGCATTCGTAAATATTTACTTAAAAAGAAAATTCTTCAACTCTAGTAATAAATAAATAAATTAAAGAAGCAACATTAAATTACATTATTTGAATTTTTGATCATTAGCACATAGATTGTAACGATGATGGACCGATATTTTTCAATGGACTAGATTTATGAAATGTAACCATGCCAAAATGTATAAAATTTCTATCCAATCTGCGACTTATTTTAATTAAGTAATTAGGTTGTAATGAAGCATTGTTTTAATTTAAAAGTAAGTGGAATAAAATAGTATTTTCTATGAACTTTAACACCACTGATTTCAGTCGAAAAGAAATGTTGATTCGCTGTAAAGAGCTACATAATCATTTCTTCAGATATTTTAATGATAAATAACAACGTTTGAAGTTTTAAAATCTTTCTTTCATTTTGCACACACTCTCAGAACCGTAAATTTAATTCACAAAATTTTTACTGATAATTTACAAAGGATGTTCATACGATATGCGTGATATCAAAACTAAAAGAGCATTGAAATAGCCTTAGCGGATGGAGACGGCGCGTTTCCCTTCGGCACATTTGACGTCATAACCAATTAGGGGTCGTTTTTGATTGCATCACTTACGGAGGCCTTTTGGGGCAATTTAAATGTTTAATAACTAAATAAATTACCATTTGCCGAAATAAACAATCAGATTTTCGGTTTCAGGGGAGAATTTCCAATACGTTAGGTATGAAAATAAGAAAAATTATGATATGCTGTAATTGTCCATTGTTTGACGAGATTAATAAACTCGTTACTGCCATCGCTTCTGAGTGTAGCGTACATTACGTGGTGTGTCATCTTGAAAGAAATAATACAGGATTGCGAAAAGAAAGTTATTTATATTAAAACAAAAAGCGATGCTACTAGATTCATTCAACGGTATAGTTATGTCCATCAATTGGCAGTGGAAACTGAACAGGCCATGTCTGCACACGCTTTCTGGTTGGTTTGCTTGCATTTCTTTGAACTATTTATCTTCTTTGCTGACTTCGTTGGCTATGATTTAAATCCGGACTTCATTTACCTAATCGAAAACCATTCAATATATTTAATTCAAGGATTGTTGTTCTTCGTGATTATTCATTTTGCGGCTCAAGTCGAAGAGCAAGATAGATATCTCAGACAAAAAGTCGAAGACGTGGCTTTTCTTATTATTTCGACACGAAAAGTAATCCAAAAGGGGATCCACTTGAAAAGATTTTTGCATTCGAAACGCCGCATTGTTTTAACTGCATGGGGGAGTTTTTACTTTAAAAAAAGTTTACTCATCTATTCAGCTGGTGTCATTATCTCATATAACCTTCTCATTTTACAATTAAATACAATTTTATCTTGAATTTCTTTATATTGGTTCCTTTAATACATAGTAATGGTATTTAATGTAGATATTACACACACCCATACACACACGACTATGTCGTAAGTACATCGAAACCGAAATATTATCACAAATGTCGGATATATTGACGAATGCACCTCAAGACGACAAATACACCACAATTAAAGACAGGTTAATTGCTTTGTTCGCAGACGCGGAAACTCAAAAGCTGTTAACCGAAGTCGATTTGGGTGATAAAGAACCTTCTCAGCTATTATGTGAAATGAAAAATTTGGCGACTGATAAAGTGACTGAACAATTTCTTAAAACAATTTGGCTTCAAAGATTGCCCTTAGAAATAAGAAGCATTTTATCAATCAGTAACGATGATCTATCAAAATTGGCGACAATGGCCGATAAAATGTGGGAAATGAAAACAACATCGTTTCAGAGTGCCGCAATTGCGAGTCAGAATAATGACAATGTTGTAGTTAAACTACAGGAAAAAATTTCGGAACAACCGCTACAAGTCAGCGAACTAAACAAATGGCAGTACTATGAAGAATCACGCTATAGATCCCGCGCTAGAAGTATTTCTTGTAATAGGCGTAATAATTTCGAGCACAGTACATGTTATTATCACTCGAAGTTTGGCGACAAAGCTTTCAAATGCAATAAACCTTGCGATTTGCATAACAAGAGAGATCGCCAACCACAGGAAAACTAGATCCCCGGCCCTCACTGACGACAGAGAGTCGAGGGGTGGAGCTGTGTCGTCTTTTTATTCGGGACAAAGGAACTGCCACCCATTTTTTAATTGATACAGGAGCGTAGATTTCGGTGATACCCACATTACCACAAGAAAAATGATCTGTTGACAAACTAAAGTTGCTTGAAGCAAACGGAAGCAAAGTTAAAACTTACTGACAAAAATTGTTGAATTTAGATTTGGGACTGAGACGAGCATTTAATTAGCCTTTTGTGATAGCAGATGTTAATAAACCAATAATAGATATTGACTTTTTGTCTCATTTTCACCTTTTGGTTGACAATAAAAATCGCAAATTAATTGATGGCACTACATCCTCTATCGGTTTGCCTTGTTATCGTACTGATACACCAATATTAAATACGAATAAGTACGAAGATATTCTTAAACGATTTCCTGACCTATTACGACCAACACTCGTCAATAACAAAATTAAGAATCACAACATTGAACATTTTATAGAAACCACAGGAGCTCCTGTTACTGCAAGAGCTAGAAGACTCGCATCAGAAAAATTAAAAGCAGCAAAATAGGAACTTAACTTCATGTTGCAACAAGGTCCTTGTAGACCTTTAAGAAGTTGCAAGACCAGCCCTCTGCATCTCACCTTAAAAAAATCAGGTGACTAGAAGCCATGTGGAGATTATAGAGCTCTTAGCAATATCACTATTCCAGATCGTTACCCTTTGCCATTTCTCACAGACTGTGATTCTATTCTACACGGAAGGAAAAAATTTTCTTCGATAGACTTAGTTCGATCTTATCAACACATTCCAGTGCACGAGGCTGACATTCCAAAAACAGCAATTATAACCCAGTTCGGGTTGTTTGAATTTCCTTTCATGACTTTTGGTTTACGTAACGCAGCTCAGACCTTTCAATGATTCATGAATATGGTCTTATTAGGGTTAGATTTTGTGTTCTGCTATTTCGATGACATATTGATTGCCTCCCCAGATGACAAAACTCACCGCGAACATTTAAACATAGTTTTTAAAAGATTAAATGATCACGGCTTATGTCTCAATACCGCAAAATGTGTTTTTTGGTACATCGAAAAATTAATTATTTGGGATACGAAATTTCAACTGAAGGAATTAAACCTCTTTCGACGAAAGCTATTCAAAGTGTTCCTGAGCCTACATCAACCACTAGTCTTCGCAAGATTTTAGGGATGATTAATTTTTATCACCGTTTCATTCCAAATTGCTCTAAACTGCAACAACCATTAATTTCATTGCTTAGTGGGAGTAGCAAAAACAGCAAAACACCTTTAATTTGGAATGAAGACACTCGCAACGCCTTTAGAAACCTTAAAAACGCCCCTTGTAATGCTACAATGCTGGTTCACCCATCAAATAACAATGCTATATCTCTCACATGCGATGCTTCTGATACTGCCATAGGAACTGTAATAGAGCAGATTGAACATGAGAAATAGATCCATTAAGTTTCTTTTCACGTTTTTTAACTGATACGCAGAGAAAATATAGTGCCTATGATCGGGAACTTTTGTCTATCTACACTGCAATAAAACATTTTAAGTACATTTTAGAAGGAAGAGCTTTCACCATTTATACGGACCACAAACCTATCACGTCTGGGTCACCAATGAAGGGTAAGGATATAATAACTTACCTTCTCTTGTATTTGCGTATACATAGATAAAATTCTACGTACCAAAAAAGCACCGGGAAAAAAAGAACTATATATTCATTTCACATCAGAGAAGAAAAACTAAAAACTTAAGAAGTTGCCATCCAGTGGTACAATAATAAAATAATAAAAAAATAATATCAAACATTAATTATAGGTGGCGCTGTATTTTTGACACATATTGGCCTCCGCTACAATCACTAATCAATGTAGCTCATTAATTCAGCCTGTGACTAAAAATCTCCCTATATAAGGAGAAATATAGTGAACTCAATGGCTCAGCAGTATAGTATACTTAAAAGGCATAGAAAAAATCAAAGCTGAACTTATCTGTTAAGCATTAACTTTCTGTTGTGCATTTTACTTAAACGGACTGCCACAAAATCAACTTTGCTTCTATCAGATTGCTGAAAACCCTCTTTGTAAACAATGGATGTAGCTGTCCACTGAGCTTAGTCAATACGTCTAATTATATCTCAAAAAGATGAATTTATGAACTAAAATATTTGCTTTAAAATGAATGTGTCTTTTCATGTTTAAAAAGTATTAGTGTCTTTCAATTCGCGATCGCAACGCTCGAGTACGCCGTCTAGCGGGAGCCTGTAAATATCGGACATTAATTTATCACGTTTTCATTTAGTTCCATCAAAGTCATTGACTGAATCAGACGCCATTTTTTAGCAGCAAATAAGAAACAAAATTTCCCTAAGGAAAAGGCCGAAGAACTTGAAAAAAATCTCCAGAATATTAGTAAATCTTNTATGGGCATAACCATTTCGAAGTTCGTTCAAAACGGGGCAAGATATCTTTAGATAGAATACATGGATGCAAAAAATGTACTTAAAACTTTATTTGCAAAACATTTAAATAATTCAAAAGCCAATCGATGCATATAAAAATAGCATTACATATCAAAATGTTCCTAAATGTTTTGTTAAATGTGCATAAAATTTCAAATTTTTATAGTGAATAATTTTTGCGCTATGAGAGTAAGAAGCGTAGAAACTTTTTGAAATAGCGGTTACTGCTACAACTATTTTCCTTTATTATGAAAGTAGTTTTTACACTTACAATGCATGGTAAATTGCATCATATAGTACAAAATACATCGATAATAGAAAAAAAAATTTGATTTAAATTTGCATTAAAAGGAATCTGCACATTATGGTATCAATATTAGTAATTTTAGATTCTTAGAAACACACTTGAAAAAAAATGATGTTAGGAAAAAATGTAAAGCATAAAATTGGTTTTAATTTAAATATTTTGAATTAATTTGTTTGAGTCCCCCTTTCGGGGGAGACTTGACCGCTTGTCGGGCAGAGTCAGGCGCCATCCTTGCTGGAATTTAGAATTCTTTTACGTTTTACGGTTTTAACACCATGAAAGACATGTCAAGTACTATCGCGACCGCTATCTATTCACCAGCGCGATTAACAATTCTAATGTTGGGGGCACATCTCGTAATCGCTAGATAGTACATTAACTCTGTGCAGTCATTTATCTGTTTAAACCTGTTATTAGTTTATTAAAAATTCAAATCAAATGATACAATTAAATTGATGCAATTAAAATATGAATTAACTTACATACTATTCGATACTATTAAAAACAATGAATAAGAATAATCTGGAGTGGCAATAAAAAACTATGAAACCTATTTAATTTTGCTATTTTTAACGATAAAGTTTATTGCTGCCGTAGATTATAAAGGTTATGTAGAGTATAGTTTGTCTAAAGTAAGAACTCACCCAGTGATTCGTCTGGACTCGTGGCGGTGTCTATCGTCACGAGATGTAACTATTTCAAGTAAGGGTGATGGGTCATTGTTTAGCACAGGTTTTGGTTCGGGTCGACGAGAGAAATTTCTTCTGTCTATTGTGCTAGTGCTAGAGTGAAGAGAAGTTATCCTCCCAGAAATGCGCCATTCTTGTTTCTATGGCAGCAGACGGCCTCAGATTTTGTGGCAGGGGGAGTTCTTACCGTAGATGAACTATAAGACCACTTGGCAAATTTAAAATTTTAAAATTACACTACCCCGCAGAGTTAGATATTACATGACTCAGTCTTGCTCTGCTGAGAAAATTTTTTTATGTGTGTTAAGTCATGACTAGTTAAGTCATGACTAGTGATACTGATAACTATGACAAGATATTTCTTAATATTGTAAAATGGGATTTTTTTTTGGAATATTATATTACCAAAGAATTGGTAATTGGAAAATTATAAGCGATAAATTTATAATGGCTCAAGTATAAATGACGAAAAAGAGCTAGGCAAAGAATGTTTACATGAATGATTTAATTATTTTCTAGTGAAAGTTTTGACGATTGTATTAACTGTATTACGTCTTAGATTTAAAACTGCTTTTCTATTTGCAAAGACGCAAAGCATTGGATGATGATTAAAAAATTTTTAATGTGAGTATGAAAAATGTAACCCACATTTGATAAATTTTAAAACGAATAATAACTTATTTGTTTTTGAGCCGCAGATATTAACTTTATCACTTTTCTTCTCCGCTTACCTAAAATTCCCAATGCCTTGTTCCATTTTTGATTTACAGCCTTTTTCAAGCTTGGCAGGAGCAAACCGCATACCCTGCCAATACAACTTTGGCGACATCAGTCAAACCAAACACGCTTTATAATTATGATAATATGATAGATTTGTCAGACATCAAGACATAATCAGACATAAATCATCTTTTCTGCACATTGTTGGAAAAGTGCGCATAAATTTTCTTTCGATAACGCCAATTTTTTTTCAATTTTTGTCTCATCAGCTCTTCTTCAAGCTCTGACATCTTCTTTTATACCAAAGACGGTCGTTATTCTAGAATTCCGATACGCTTGTCACGCCTGAGTTCCTCACTAACATAGCACGCGAAAACGCATTCTTCTCTGATTTATCTCTAACTGTTTCGTTTTCTTCATTCGCGTTTTGGGAGTCTTGAGAATGGATGCTGAATTTTGAGCGCTCCTTACATGCTGACTTTGTCCACTATTATTAATCTACATAGGAATTTAAATGTTTGCATAAAGAATTATATCAAATGATGCCAAAATGGATCTAAAAGTGTTTCTAATTGTTACCTTTCAACTTCTCTGTTCTTCCGGAAATCAAAGAGGATTGGATGTTTTAAAAATCGCTTGCCTAGGAATTCAATTGTTAGATTTCGATGACATTTTTGTATTTCAATTATTAAGCACTTTAATTTTTGTCTCCAGTTTCGGCAAGGAATTTGAATATTTATATTAATGATGATTACTATGAAAAATCCAGTAAAATGTGCAATTTAC